TGTGTAATGTTATGTAATGTGTGTAATGTTATGTAATGTGTGTAATGTTATGTATGTATGTAATGTTATGTATTTATGTAATGTTATGTATGTATGTATGTAATGTTATGTATGTATGTAATGTTATGTATGTATGTAATGTTATGTATGTATGTAATGTTATGTGTGTATGTAATGTATGTAATGTAATTTATGTATGTATGTATGTATGTATGTATGTATGTATGTATGTGTTATGTGTATATGTAAGTGTGTGTGTATGTATGTATGCACAGTCTTCTTCCTGTGCTGTAGCCATTACGTGGAGTGTTGACACGTTATGTTGTGGTTTATAACTAGGCTGTCTTATCTACGCCTTTCGTTTCAACACACATTTTTTCAATTCATCCTTAATTAGTCACCTATCATGACACATCTAATAACGGACCGTGGGTCAGTTCCCCCATACCTCCCAAATGGGGCCTTAGAGCGCACACGATTTCTTGATTTCAACTAAACTTCAGCCACCCTGATTACATCATTATCATCTAGCCTTTATCATCATAACCATTATTATCATCTTTTTCTACCTCTATCGTTAAGCGGCGTAGAGAGAAATAGTTTGCAATCTTTTGCTAGATGAGCAACAAGGACGATCTCTAATTTCACGTCAGATCTTGTCAGCTGTAGCGTCTGTTTGGTTAGCTGTTTTGGTTAAATAGTTACTAGATGACCAAACCATTTGATCTGCTGTTTCTCAGTTAATTTTCTGCATGGTGCTGTTCCCCTAGTCTTGTCTGATATTAACATATCTAACGTTGTATCGAATGATTAAGCTGGCGGCTTTTCTTAGACATCTTATTCCATAGGTTAGTCTTTGATCATGTCCAATTCAGGCAATGGTAGGACAGTGTTGGTATAAATGTACTGTTTATTATATGCTTATCTGATTCCAAAACGTTGTATTTCAGCCGGGAATCTCGGAACTGAGCCGGGTGAAGCAGACAAGAGTCGTGACGATTCTCAGAACAGGAACATTGAAGATCGTCAGCTGATCATCCCTTCACAGGAGCCCATGTACCCCTCATCAATAATCACCATTGACAGAATTCAGCCTACACGGATGACGCCTGGGGGAGCTGGGGGTGGCGTGGACGACGGCGGGGGCGGTAGGTTTTTATGGTTAACTCGACAACCACAGTTATCACATTGCATTTTATATATATGTATAAGTATATATATATACACACACACCTCACATCGTTCTTCTATTGCAGCGTATCTAAGTGGGTTTTGATTGCGGTACGTTGGAATTAGAGTCGGACTTGCAACACCTAAGCCACAGATGCCGCTCGAGTTTAGAAAAATACTCTATAAATAAAGCATGGGATTTCAGAATCATTATTGTAATCGTGTGTATTTAAGACTTGCTCCATCTTTATATATTTAATTCTGAGCACATTTGGCAGACCTGCCCATTCAACCTACAACTTCGAAAAAAAGCCTGGCCTTGAGAGCAAAGTGTGCAGAACAATCTATGGGGAACCATAAAGGACCTGCAGCTGACATGCGAGTTCATAGAGGCAACCCACCTGACGGTCTGACCTGAGAATACGATACCGAATGCAAAGAAAAAGAACCATTATTGCCACTGAGTGTCTTAAACGCGTGCACAATCGTTATATCTTATTGAACTTGCAGTTTTCCCTCACATTTTGTGATTGTTCTTCTTTTCAAAGTCAAAGCAAAATGGCGCCAGTAGTCATGTCTATCCACAACCTTCTGTATCGTATATTTTCGATCAACTCTGATACAGGTGATCTTCCATATAATATTCAGCCAATGTCAGGCTATCTAGCATCTACTTGTTACTGACTCGATAAACAGGTTGAGAAAGGTGGAGACAGGTATGCTCCGTGCAGAGGGCAAGCATCGTTTCAGAGATACAAGGATATTTGCTCTAGGTCGTGCAGATGTGTTTGCTAACGAGCAAGCGGTAGACTGGTTGGCTCTGCCCCACACTGTGGTAAACCGTCCCATGACAGGCTAGATATTATTAAAGCCCTTTGGTAGCTAGTGAATAGTGCGCAGGCACAATTAGATCATCACGGCAGTGCAACAGAGAGTGATCATGGGTACCATCCAAGGTGGAACGCTTCGCTGGCTGCAGCAGATGGGGACGGAAGCTTATGGGAAGGTCCTCAATACTGTGATATCGGTTTTCAAAACTTATATCCACTTAACATGCTTCCCTGCTTGCAGTAAATGTAAGTTAAAGGTAAAAGACCTTGCCCACCTTTGGCGCATCAAACTGTATATAGAGCAATATTTTTATAGAGCAATCAAGCAATTAGTGGATGATGTTGTCCTTAACACATCGGCCACTTATACTACCACGGTCATTACCTGATATCCATTATAGGTTGGGTATAAAAGTCCCACTTGTTGCATAGCACATTTTTTAGCCAATTTGTAGTCATCTTGAATATATCTTTTTTCTCTCACTCTCTCTCTCTTCCAGGAGCAAGGAATCTAACTCACAAAGACGCCTCCACACAAACAACTTATAATGACTTCGTGATAAACATCCCTTCAGAGCAAAACGTCACTCCAACATACCCAGGACATGTATACATATATCCCGTTCAAACACCATATTCAGCCTCTGCTTCTCCGAGGTCACCAAGACACGCAGAGGGTATTGGATCTCTTTCACCTCACTGCTACACTGGAAACTCTCAAGACCACGCCAGTCCTTGGCTGGGTAGCTTTTCACCGCGTCATTCCTTCGACACTCGATCCGCTGAAGTTCCAAAAAGTTTAACGTTGCCGAGGTATACAGGTGGAAAGTCCGAGAAGAAATATGCAAATCAGTTAAATTTGGATTTGCCATGTTCGCCAACCTCAGAGATAGTGGCCACAAAACACGGTTTCGCTGTCGAAGGGTTGGAAGTGCCGCATTTTCCAGGTAGTAGCGGCCGTTCGCTGCCTTCCAGCGGAAGTGACATATTCAAACCAAGTAGCAGCCGTAACCAGGGCCAGTCCTCGAGCAAACAACCCTTAAGCCCTTCTCCGGCTGTGTCTGCTCGAATGCCGTTATCTCGTTCTCCCTTGCCAAGGCAGCCTGTAGCGCACATAAGCAACCACCAGCCTCCTCCCACACGCCATCACAGGCATAAACGACGTGAATCTGTAGCACCTAAACATTCAGAACATCCACCTTCCAAACCGGTATCTCTTTCTAGGAAACCGTCGCATAAGTTACCATCAAGGCACCATCGAGATACCACGTCACCAAGAAGAAAAGACATTGATACAAACAGTGAAGCAGTCAGCATGAAGCTGCTTAAAGATTCCTCATACGAAAATCAGGATTCTGGGGACATTCCATCCCATTTGTATCATCAAGATGAGGAAGGATTCTTTTCTTCCTTGAGTTCTTCTCATGCCAAACGAATGTACAACAGAGATGGGGATGATTACGGAAACAAAGGCATCCTCTTCTTCAGTCGCTTAGCTGGCATAGGTAGACACCATGACTCGGGAATGGGTGGGGGAGGCAGATTGAACTTCAAGAGCGGAGGTTTTGAATCATGATAACATTTTAAACGTTAGTGCGTCTTTCAGCTGTACGTGCAGTTCTGTGTTGGGTGTTATATCAGTGTTGCCAGCGTTTTCAGGGTTACGTGCTGATAAAGATGTGATAATCCATGGAACAACAAGAGTTTCGTGCCCTGCTTAGCTGGAACAAAAACAAAATCGTCACGTTCAACCAGCTTTCCCGAAGAGGCAGCTTGAGGTTATAATTGTGACCAGGTTATGTCCGCGATATAAAATGGCTTAGCATAGCACGCCACCAAGAGCCCTAAAAAGGACTCCTGCAGTGTTGATGCTATCTAAGGAGACAGACCCAAATACTGTCCCTACTGGCAAAGAATTCGTTTACCGGCGTGCCAATATGCGACCCTATTTAATGTGGGTCCGGTAAGAACTGATGTATGCGAGAAGATCAGTGTGGTAGTGAAACAGTCAGCATCTACTTTTTAAAACATTTGATGCGGGATGTGGATTGTACATGGATGTGATGTGCTGCCATGCAATTATTATCAGTAATCAATCAACAATCAATAATACATAAAATTTGGTTTCAGATATTGATCATACAGTGTATTTAAGACGAGTCACTTATCGGTGATTTACTACTTAGAGAGTGGCTGCTCTCGGGCTAGCAAGAATAGTATTATAACATATAAGATGTAGCTGGGGGAAATTAGGAGGAAGAAACTAAATGCATTCAACAGCCAGAAGTTTCAACCTAAAGTTGTTGTTGTTGTTTTTTTTTTTTTTTTAATCAAAGTCTACAACGACAGGAGAACTTTTATTAGGTTTTCGATTTTCCGTCTTTCATGCATTGTGTACTTTATGGAGACATAAAAATCGTATCCCAAGGCGATGGCGAGTGTGACTAGCAAGATCCGCTCGCGTTAAGAAAAGTGTTTCACGGTTAGAGCATGTTATTACAGGACCAGGGTTACCACCGCATATGTTAAATCTGTCATATTGACACAGACCTCTGATCTACCTTAATGGTACGTGGCTCGTTGTACAGTCCTGCAACAGTCTGTCCCAGAACACTCTAAACCGAATACGCACAGAACACACACAACAATCTTTAATATAAAGCACAGACTAATATAAGGCAGCTGACGTAAAGAAATGTCGGCACCCTTATCCGAAACGTAGGCCGTCATGGCTCTACAAAACACCATGCACGCCTTTCCGTCCCCATGGATAATACTCAGGTCTAAACCCACACTGCTCCTGACAAGCTATTTTCCTATCCCACTGGACTTCGCCAAGATCGCGTAGTGACTGTAGAATGTGGGAACAGTGTTCAGGAATAAATAATTTCACAACCACCAGTCCAAATTACCATGGCTACCAGAACAGCTCAACACTACATAGGGATTACTATACCCTAACGAAACACATTAACGCTAAACTAACGGTCACTAGAATATCACTACAACACGCTATAAGTCTAAACCGTCAATCTATCAGATGTCTCCTGTCTCAAATCCTTAGTCTCTCTCCCTCTCTTCTTTTCCGATCTGACTCGTTGGTGTTATCACTGTCCAACAACTCAGCCCAGTCCATGTAGGACTCGTGGATACGCAATCGAACTGTTCAAGTCAGTCACGATATATCGATGTTGTGAATTTATCCGATTGAACTGTGGGTTACCTATCGGTCATGCCAGTACAAATAATACACCGTCCCATAACTGTTAAAGACTCTGGCATTCATCTCAGACGCTCAACTATAAACATATCTTCAGTGATGCTTTCTTCTACTTCTATTCCTCTCATGGTTTTCCTCTTGCGTGAAGCACAGCTGAAGGCATACTATTTCCATGAATCTACCTTAAACGTGTATCGTTCATGTCCTTCTCGCACTCATCTTTACATAGAAGTAGAGTCCGACCTCAGCATCTTCTGCTCATCCGTTCATTAGTCATCGAGGATGTTCTCATGGGCTTTAAAATGCTTCAACAGCCAAGTCTCTTCTAGCTCTCAAAGCTTTAGAAAACTGATCATTGAAAAAAAAAAAAACATTTGTAATACTTGCTCTTTCCAGTACCTCGGCTCCAGTGATCTTTTCTTGCCACTTAATGCCATGTTTTCCTCGTTGGCTTCACATGTGGACTTTTTTAGCCGTTTCTACTGCTAAAGATAAGTCGACCAAGTTTCACTACTGTAAAGAAGAGTGCAGCAAACACACACAAACCTTAGCAGACAAAAAATTGTTTTTGTTTTAACCATGAGCTTTTTGCTTCCCTAGCCTATTAATGTTTATCTGCTCATTGTTGTGGCATTCTAACCTATCCAAATGTTGATTTCTTGGTCCATTGACAGTTTGCATTAAATCAGTTGTTTCAAGCTCTTTGCCATCACATAACTCAGGAGGTCTTTCGTTAGCAGAAATAGCACTGAGAGGACAAATTCAGAATGAAAAGAAAATGTAGAAAAGAAAAAAAATCAGTCACACGAGTTTATGACTTACATTAATATTCATAAATCAGTAACTCATCCGAAATGGTCACAAAATCTGTTGATCCTTTGCCGGGCACTTCTTACTTTATCACTGTTTACTCATCGATTTTATACTGTAGGGTAAATTTTTATGAGTCATACTGGTCCTAATGAGTTTAAATTGAATATTGAATATTGAGCTGAATATTGAAGAGGGTTGGCTAGTAAAGACAATAAAACAAAGAAAATTGAAATATTTTGGTCACTTGAAACGTCATGGAAGTCTAGAGAGAACAATAATGGAGGGGTATATGCCTGGGAAGAGAGGAAGAGGAAGGCCAAGGAGAAGATGGGTGCAGGATGTGGCAGATGATCTCCAGATGGGTGTATCAGACGCAGGACATCTTGCTCATGATAGGAAGGTTTTCCGGAGGGTTGTTATGGCAGCGAGGTTCCGCGAGGGACATGCTACTGAATGAATGAATGAACTCATCGATTTTGTACTGTAGGGTAAATTTTTATGAGTCATACTGGTCCTAATGAGTTTAAATACTACATAACGTACACCCCCCTTCCCCAGTATAAGACACATTTTTCTTTCATAAACAAATAGGGTCTAAAAATAACAGTGTCCGTCTTACAGAGTGGTAGTAGATTTTTGCTAAGTGATTTTTTTAGAAAATATCCCCTGCAGAGTCTCATTGGGAATGTTGAACACAAAATTATATTATTCTTCTTCTCCGTTTTCTTTTACTATTTCTCTTCAAACATTGGGGGGGGGGGGGGGGGTCACATTTTGTTTTGGTTTACAGCAATAAGTGAAAATACAAACTTCCTTAGACAACTCGATTAATTCTTTTAAATGATTATTTGTAAGTCCTTCAACGTTACATAGTGATCTTTTTTTTTAAGACTTATGATCATATTTCTTTTGAATCACTTAAGTGCGAGTCCTTTAACGTTAAGTATCTTCTTTAGACGTCGGTTTTAGATGTTAAATGGACTGTCCTGAATGACCATGGGAGTGATCACCTACCATGTTCAGTCTTGATTTCTAAACACAGTAAGGTTAAGGTTTGGAGAGCACGCAAGACCGTCCAGTATAAGTGGACCAACAACCTACTTGGACGCCTCAGACAGGGAGCATGCAAAAGAACTGCCAGAACTAATTTACTACAGCCCCCATGGTGGACTCCAGAAGTAGAACAGACATAGAAGGCAAAGAGAGCCGCAGTGAAGCAGCTAAAGAAAGTACGACAGATACCCTCAAGCTCACGAGAGGAAGTGGAGATGGCGGAGAAAGTGAAAAGAGAAAAGGTGGAGGTTTTCAAGCGCTGTGCTGCAGAGGCCAAAAGATCAAAGTGGGAAACTTTTGTGAAGGACATGGGAGGCGATAAAACATTGGGGAAATTCTGGAAACTGCAAAGGCAGATGCAAAGAAAAGATCGGCCTATGACAGTCGGAGCAATTTGTAGAGACGATGGTGTGCGTGTGACAACAGACAAGGAGAAAGGGGAGGCTTTTCTCCATAGGTTTATAGCTCAGACAGATCATAATGATGTAGACATCAGGGATGCAGTTAGAAAGGAGTTAGCTGGCACCTTGAAAAATATGCATTTTGAAGACATGATACAGGTGGAAGATATCAAACAAATTTTGAAAAAAGCAAAAGACACTGCACCAGGGCCTGATGGTTTCAGGTATGGTCACATTAAGGCTTTGAGCGATGTAGACCTGGCGGAGATGGCCGACTGTTTTAACCAGAGTATTAAGACAGCATCATTACCGCAGGACTGGGTGAACAGCTATCTAATCCCACTACCAAAACCTTTTAAAGATCAAAGTTCTACTTTGATTATATTAATGTAAATGTGTGTATGTTATCTATGTATGTGTACATACACACAGATATATATATATTGTGTGCAATAATTATACCACTATTGAATATATCTTGTGCACATCATATGTACATTTTCTATCATGTGTTACATACTTCATTCTTGTATATTTGTATATATTCAAGACCGTAAAATATATGTGATTGATCCACTTGTTTCAGTTACGCCTTTATTTCTTATTGTTCAAACTATTCAGAATTCCAAGCGAAACTGCGGCCAGCTATTCAACCTTTAACTCCTACAGTACCTATCATCGCACCCTGCCTTTAGTGGTTACTGTTTAAATAATATGATTTTTTTTTAAACTGTTGAATGCTTTCCATCTAGAATATTATCCCATTTTAGGAGCGCCTGCTACCAAGAAACTTTGATATAGCGGTGGGGGTGCATCAGCTCCCTTATAATTGTCAAAAGAGGCAGGGATAAGTGGCTTAAGCCTTGTCTAAGCTGGCAATATTATAATAATAATGTTGAAGTGCTGAATGGCAAATAAAAATAATTTACTTGAAATAAAGTAAATACACTTATACAGAGAACGTCTAAATATGGTAAGAAGGATCACTTAGCCCCTTGCAAATTTTCTAGGATATGGGAGCTCAGGCCCGCCCCCCCCCCCCCAGCACCCCCTCCCCTCCGGCCACCTCCTTCCTACAGAAAAATTGCC